AACTTTCAAAATCTCCCCTAAAGCTTCCCTCCACCATATCTGGAATTCTGTAATGGCTACAGGGAATCCAAGCTGTCTCAGAAGTTACTAGACCAATGCTTTCCTGGAGCAGACAACGATCAGAGAGGGCCTATTGGTTCTTTGACTACATTTATCATGAATGTCACAAAGTGCATAACTACCAATTACAAGCTGAAGTACCTTCTTGTAGTTTCCTTGCCTCTATGGGACAAGGTAGTCCAATGGTATATGGATATGATAGAACAGACTGCAGATGTTTGAGGATTTCATGCCTTAACCAAGAAACGTATGTTATCATACCACACATATATTTATCACTGATTAAATCTAAAAAGACCCAAGTTCAAATGATGGTGAAATATCTTTAAAATATATGTATCAGTAATGATGCGCCTCATTGTAGCTATGGGGAAAAAGTGTTTGGCAGCAGAGTACAATCTTTTTTTGAAGCATTTGGGCAAATCAACTATGCCAGGTACCTGACATTTCAGAATGTCAGCCTTCGAAATCTAAAGGTACATGACAAAGATGCCTGGAATAATCTGTTGCGAAATTTATTTGAAGGCTCATTGTCTGGGAAGCCTTTCTCCACAATCTATGGGGATTTGATAATGGAGATGACAATCAACCACAAAGTGAAAGTCCATGGTGGACCAATGAAAGGTAGCTACTACACAGGTGAACTTTATTCATTAAAACCAGTCGTTTAATATCAAAACAACATGGAACATTAGATGCATTAAAGCTTTAGATAATACAGAGACCAGTGTTCATTCAATCAACACGAAAACGTCAATACTGCACTCGTCATTTAATTGGATAAATATTCCAATCTTTTCCTGGTAGGGGCTGTTCGTCCCATGAACACTGTTGTGGAAATAGAAAAAAAGTGTTATTGATGGAATATTGTCATCAACTAAAGCTAGTGTGAAACAGTGCCAAGACTTTGTATACCTCAGACTCGATGCTATAAGGCAGAATTAGTTTCTTTGACATAAACAATTTGAAGATGGGGACAGGGCTAGAGAGGGTCAAGAACATATTCTCATCCCGTCACATCTATTCCACTTGCTTTGGCCACCCAATAACGAGACTTGTGCCAGTTTTCAAAAGCAATACTAGGGAACTTCTTCCAGATGGAAGAATCATCCTATATAGGGTATGAACTACCAGACAGAGGCAACTGTCAATGTTACCCAAACGGACCTAGAGAAAATACAGATACCTTGCTCAAGTTCTGCTTGCCACCAAGTCAGTCAAAGCATATGCTTGTCGGAATAATATTTGATTCCCATAGCACAGCTACAACGAAGGAGTTGACATAACGTCATCAAGGAACACCAGGACAAAAATTCCATATCGCTTACTCCAAACAGAGTATGCCTACAGGCACAATGCTGAAAATAAGACTGTGTTGATCAGATTTTTGGTCAGTAACTT